TGTGGCCATGGGTGATATTTTTGTTAAATGGCTAACCCCTGTATAATGATAATTGAAATATTACGATTTAAAAACAAATGTTACGCGATCCTATTTACTAGAAGTAGGTTCTCCTTCCTAAGTTATTCATCCTGGGTCGTCATTTTGACAATTTTAATCTAGCTGCGATAATGTCGCTTTCTGACGACGAGAGGTTTTTTTTTATATATTGCGTCGTTGCGCCAGAGGAAGCCGGGTATTCATATTAGTACTAATTTAAATCTTGTATGTAAAAACAAACAGAAAATCATTTAATTCGGCAATATAATAAAATCATACCATTTTACTGAACCCGGTAATATTATGAGTTATGTAAATCTAAAAGCGCACGTTTCTCATTTGACTCCGATCACGAGAACCGACAGAGACAGGATACGCCGTGGCTATCACAACAGTTAACCCTTGGAGGGCCTCATGACAAAATCAAACTAACCAGTCACTTATCACTTCCTTTCGCATAAATCACTGTATACTTACAAAAACACAAAGTTAACTCTCTCCGATACATACCCATTGACATATTAAACTCAGTTCATCTGTGTTAAAACTCAGACAAAGATACTAGCGATCGAGTTTAATAGTTTCAGATATTTATTCATTATATAAACAGCGCTAGCATTTCTGTCGATTCCATTTTAGCTTAACCGACTATCCGGAAGAATATATGCACCGTACTAACTGCTAGGGCAGTTATTTTCTCCTTTGAATACTTCCCACCTGTAATAATGATTCCGTAACGTACTTCTTGCGCTATCTTTAGACCATTTGTTAACTTTTCGCTTCGTAGCTGACGGTTCAACACTTTTCTTTGGCCTACTTCACACGGCCAGTCATTTTGTTTACAAAGAAATGGTGTGCAATGCGCAGGCCTAGTAGAGGGAAATCCCTGAACAAAACGTTGGTCAGACAGGTAAAAATACCGATGATTATCTTAGATTTAATCATTTCAATCTATTTCAGCCAAATCCGATCGTTATTTTCCATAAGGAGTCTCACTTGATATGTTTATATAGTATTTGAAAAAAAAGAAAAAAAATACTTACTTTAGCGTGATGCCCCTTTAAACTTTCAGCGATGTTTATCCTAACAGACAAAGCAATATCAAGAACCGGTACGATTTATACTTACACAAAATTTTACTCTTCCAGACAAAGCCATATCAAGAACCGGGGCGTTTTAAACTTTCACAAATGTTTACCCTATCAGACAAATTCATATCAAGAACCTGAGCATTTTAAACTTTCAGCGATGTTTATCCTACCAGACAAAGCAATATCAAGAACTGGTACGATTTATACTTACACAAAATGTTACTCTTCCATACAAAGCCATATCAAGAACCGCGGTGTTTTAAACCTGCACACATTTTTACCCTACCAGACAAAGTCATATCAAGAACCGCGGTGTTTTAAACGCTTACAGATGTTTACCCTACCAGACAAGGTCGTATCAAGAACCGGTACGTTTAAAACTTACATACAATGTTACCCTACCAGACAAAGCCATATCATTCACAGATTTTTTACCGTAACAGACAAATTAATATCAAGAACCGATGCGTTTTACACTTGCACACATGTATACCCTATCAGACAAAGTCATATGAAAAACCTAGCGTTTTGAACTTTTAGAGATTGTCACCCTACCAGACAAGGAACGTTTTAAACTTTTACAGCTGTTTACCTAACGAGACAAATTTAACTTTCACAGATGTTAAACTCACCAAAGAAGTACGCTAACAACTAAAGAATATACAAATGAACATATTTACTCTTCTAGATAAATTGTAGCCTAGCCATAGTTTTATTAGAATGTTACCCAACAGCATAGACCCCATACACAGTCCAAAAATGTAGCGTTGTAGAAGTACAGATAAATATATGTCACTATGCGCCTTAAACAAACAAGTGCAGCAAATAAAGGAGCTCGGCACACAAACGGGATCATAGAGAATCCAATAGCAGTTTTTGACATACATTGTATACCACCAATTCGTTAAAAACACAACGCATAGGAAACGACACCCCCACAAAATGAACATTCCGTCTACAGCGACCGTCAAAGGCCATCACCGATATTATCAATCTGTTCGATATTTCGTCACCCTGTGTAGCAATTATCAACACCCTGGACAACCCACTTCCTAAAGAAGGAATTAGGAATAAGGTGNCACACTGTATTTTCAGTGTTTGTCATGAGAACAATTTTATCTACGTGCGAGCGATGAGAAAATTATTCGAAGGACAAACACTGACGATACTGTATGATACACTTCTTATCATCTATATGACGTTACTACAAGATAGCAATGCCTTATACATTTCTCATTTTAAAAAACTCAACTAAACTCCATGCTATCCAAATGACCTATAAGCTCAATGATCAAAGATCGCTTGTGACAAACGTAATCAAATAGAAGTTATGCGCGGAGGAATACAATGAACCTGAACACTACGAATAACAAAATATTTTATAATAATCCTATCGTCATTGGCTTTTCCATATGTACATTTACGCCTGAAATAGTGTTGTTATTCTCACAATATTTTTCCGTAATTTTGTATTGATATTTTAATTACGGACTATTTTCTTCCGCGGATCTTTTTCATCTGACGCAAGCAGACGTTCTTTTTTGAGAAAATACGTACCTAATTGCTGGGGAATGGGATATCCGCTCAAGTCGTTCTCAACTTCTTCTCATACTGACAACTAATGATAATGAATTTATCATGCTACCGGTATGTGGTATAAAGTAGTATATAGATGATGAAGACATTTTTTGTGTATCACGTGTAGTTTTCTGTCGCTCAGGTTACAAATTTCATAAGTGTTAGAAATACGCCCTTGGTGCAATGAACGTTTCTGTGATTTTACGGAGTGGAACATTACATTCGTCGAAGTTAAAGGGAAAAAAGAATGGTGTTTTTCATTGAAAAATGTATCTTCAATAGAGTTTTGACGCGGAGGATCTGATATATGGTCAGATGACAGAAAATTTGAAGACATCATTATGTTTCCAACGCTTTTAAGGATGTGCTGCCTTGATGAAGAATAGTACCGTCAGATGTTCACTTACGAGTGGAGCTATAACCCCGTAGTTCCGGTATTGGAGTTACATACATCCCTCTTGGTAACAAGGAAGTTCCTTGCGATTGAGATATTTGTTGTGTTATTGCCTGTCAGTGGGTGGGTGTTGTTCCGGTAACTTTCGTCTCCACAAAACAAGAAAATTCCATGAGAACATTATTCGTCCACCAATAAATGTTTGAATGCAGTGTGTCATACCATTGGCGGTAACCGATGCAGGTAAATGGTTTTCCAGATCCAACTCGCCCGAGGTTAAATGTTTTATATCAAGTAGGAATAGAATGTCTCTTGTTTTGTTGCTTTTCTGATGTGCGTCCAACATGTTGTTTGTTGCTATTTTTAAAGTAGCGATCCAACATGATCTTACTTTTTATGTCTGATAATTATGCATTGATAGCTGAGTATACCCTTCGTTAAGCCTGCGTTGAATTCCCCGACTCACTTACGTTGCTTCTGAGGCTCTTTCTACATGTAGTTTTTATTTGACGGGATGTCTACATAACAAGCGATGTGTTCTTCTTTTGGGTATTCAGATAAACGTGGGTCAAATCTGTTAGAAAACCCTTTTTTGACTGCGCTTTAGTCGTATTATATAATTAAGGCCGTATAATTAATTCTACTTCAGTACTGGCAAAAAGTTGAAGTTTGTCTTTATCAAGAATATATGTTGTATTTGGTATAATTAATCAATAAAAATACAAAACAAGAGTATATTTTATAGGGAATGGTATAGGAAAGGGGTAGCAATAGTTTATAACTTAATTAAAGAAAGAAGAAATAAATTGTTTTACAGCCATCAAGAGTTTACAGAGAAATTTGACATTCATACGAATTTTCTCACTTATCAAGGTGTCATTAATTCCATAAACAAATCCATTTCACATGAGGATGTTTCTAATTTGAATGTAGATTATCCATATATCCCAATTAATTTGGAAATTTCTCTTACACAAAAAAGGAACTAAAGACTGTTACCATGTTCTTTGCCAAAATGATACAATATCTACTGGTAGAAAGAAGTGGGAGGAAATATTTGAATTTAACACAGAGGTATGGAAGAAAATCTATACCATTCCCTTCAAAATAAGTAGAAACACAAAACTACAGTGGCTTCAATTAAGAATCAATCAACAGATTTTAACTGCTAATTCATATCTTTATAAAATAGGTCTTGTTAATAGTCCATATTGTTTTCATTGTAAAACTGACACAGAAACTATAGTTCATGTATTATGGGAATGTAAAGACGTACAAGTGTTTTTAACATATTTTGAATCATTGCTAGATGTGTTATTAAGGATGTACACCTCTGAGAAGTCAAAAATTTCCTGTATTAAACTTTTTTTCATATATGGATTTTTGGAAAAAGGAATTAATGGCATAGTAGAAAATGCAAAAAAATACATATGTCCGTGGGTTCGTTTTTGTACTATGATCGGTCAAAGATACCAATTTAACACAACGTGTGATTTTAGGTGATTTTGGGGTTTTGACCATTTGCAGAACAAATTCATACAATTTCTTCCAAGTGTGTTATCAGATATGTATGAATGTTTGTAGAATTGATGAAAATATTGTTTTCTTTTAAATTATGGAAGTAAAATTTCTTAATCTTATTCTTTTAACTCAGAAAGCCGATTTTAGTTACCCCTACACCCTATTTTTTAATGAAAACATACTCATTATTTACCATTTTTTTTACAGATTAAACACTTGATATAAAAAGTTCTGGTATTTAACTTTTTTTAAATTTTTAATGAATTAAGTGAAAATGTGTTCCTCTTTCTAAAACATCTACAAAAATGGGTGGTCAGTGTGCTTCTTTTGTTGATGTTAGTGTTTTTATGGTTTCTTGGCAGAAGTGTAAACAGGAAGAACCATTCGGGAACCCTCGTAATTCATCCTACAACAAATCGATTGGGAAAATTCCTAGGAACACTTAACACTAGGCAGTACAATACTTTTGTAATTAGTCAAGCAGCATCAACATCGACTGCTTCTTCATCATTGTCGTCGCCGTCGTCGTCGTCATCGTCGTTCTCATCATCACCATCATCAAAAACAACACGGATCCATACGCCAATATCCATACCAACAACGACTTTTGATCCCTTTGTTCGCCCAGATAATTGCTCAGCTTGCTTCATTTATAACTTTGCGTTCATTCACGTCAACAAGGACATTTGCAGTGAGAATCAAGCGTCAAATATAGATATCGTTATTTTGATATCGACTACACATGACAATCGGTACAAAAGAGAGGTTATACGAAAGACGTGGATGAACATTTCTAAAAATAACACCTCCAACGTGCGTTATGTGTTCTTGCTTGGTTCTCAGTCAAAGGGGAAAGTAAATAAGGAAACTGCCGGAGAGTTCACTAAATATAAAGACATGGTACAGGAGGATTTTATCGACACTTATAACAATCTTACATTAAAAACTTTGATGGGATTTAAATGGGTAAGTCTATATTGCTCGTCTGCAAAATTCGTTATGAAAACGGATGACGACATGTATGTCAACGTCACTAATTTGTTAAAGACGGTACGTGACCACAAGAAGAAGCTGGAGAGTTCTGTTGGAGGGAGCTGTAAATATGTTGCCTATCCTGTACGGGATAGCAGATCTAAGTGGTATGCGTCCATCAATCAGTACCCGAGGTCCAAGTACCCGGGCTACTGTTCCGGTACAGGTTATGTCACTACTATGGCCGTCATGCAAAAGGTTTATGAAGTTTCGAAACACGTCCCGTTTTTCTACCTGGAGGATGTTTATGTGTCCCTGTGTGTCGAACGTCTGGGATATACGTTAACGAATTTACAGGGATTTAGTTCTGTACGTTGGCCGTTGGATAGTTGTGTGTACAAGGGCACCGAGATGATAACGTCGCATGGACTAAGCGCACAAGACATGCTTACCATGTTTACAAGTGATTGTAAATAAAATAAAACTAGGACTGATAAAGGATGAGCATGGTTCCTGTGATTCATGGTGACATAACTCCCGCAAGTTCACCAATATGAATAATACAACCAGTGTTTCTCTTTTAGGGCGATTTTTTTCATAATTGGCGTGGGTAGACAAACATTAAATTGAAAACAAAAAGAGCATGTAATTGAAGAACATAACAATTGTTTAAAGACGAAAAAAAGATAAGCTAATTCAACATTTTTTCTAGTAGTATCAGCCAATCTCCGAGTAGAAGACCAGCAGACAAACATTATATATATTCCCAATATTACTGCATTAATTGCCTAGTTTTGAGGCTGGTATGCCTCTCTATAGCTGACAAAAGATAAACTAAGTATCGCTTGGCCTGAGTATATAAATCAATCTTTGATAATGTGTCATTTCGTAGCATTCAGGTTGTCTGCAAAAGAGATCTTCATGTTATGATTTCAGTGAACTATTTTTATAAAGACGTAAGCATTAATTTATAATGTATTATTGACTATGTCTCAGTGTGAGGACGTCACGTTATGTGGAACTTTTATATTGTCCCAAAACTTTATCGATTTCGAGTTCGCGTTACGGTTTTGTTGAGTTTTGGTGACCTTTTTTTGTCTTTTTTGTTTCATTTATGCAGTTTAACACTTTTTTCATGCAGGCAACCAATGCCCAATGACGGCGCTTGTTACTTTATACTGGTATTTAGATATCTTTAATAGCATATTTGTATTGACTAAAAACTAAAAAGTTGACATATTTTAATCGTGTGTACGTGCCTAGACATGTGTCACATTTTCCCGTTATTTACTTCATACATTTACGCATGAGCTATACAATTCACCAAGGGACATGTGATGTCGACAATGTTTAGAAGAAAACTGATTGATTATTTCGAATAATTAACCTATTTGCGTTACTAACACTAAAATCAGTTTTTCATACTTTGAAAGTATTGATCTTATTGACTTATCAGTGTAACATATAATTAACAGGATATTTACGTATGTACAAAAAGCCACATTGGTCACAGGAGAATAAACAAGACACATAAACAAACTGTCATATATCTGATCGGCGCTTACTTGCCGCTATCAGATACTTTCCATGATTACATAATTCTTTTATATTCTGTGTATTAAGTACAATGTTATCGAACAAGCTTATTTACACTGGGGTTATTTGTATAGTAACATTTTAAACACATCAGTCTTAAATCAGTATATCTTGTGCAAACTTAAACACAATGAAAATCGTTTTAGAATCATTGATATTACACTTTGTACATAATTTATTAGTTCTAACAGTGCCAACATAATACCTAGATTCAATGTTTAATTTTTGAGCTGACAGCATAAGTCGAGCAATTTCTTTCATGTAACCGATATTAACTGATTTTGTTTGATACGATTGAAGTAAAAATGCATTGTTTAATCCTCTGTAAAGCATACCTTTAGACATATCTGTAATTACACTATATCCCTCTTGATTAAAAATGTCAAATAATCTGGTCTTAATAATTGAATAAATAAGTGAATAATAAGTATTCTTAATAAGTGAAATTGTTTCCATTCTGAGCGTCAACGATATATCCTAAACCTACACGATAAAATTCATCATTTATTTCACAGATCTATGGATTCTTGATTAGCAGCATATTTTCATAACAGGATTTCAAAAAACAATTTTCGGTATGGAGCAATTTAAACAAATAATTAAATATTTTAAGTTTCCTTGTTACATGCAATGGATAACGGCATAATTCGAAATTTATCGTCATATTCGGAGTGGATTTGCGTACACCTAGCAACCTTTTACAAAACTCTACATGAACTTTTTCGATGTCAGGGCCTTTATGGAATCCCAATATTTCTGATCCGTAGTTGACTATAATACTGACATAAGTATCAAACACTGCTTATTGAGTCTCAATATTAAAATACTGTTTTTAGATACACCCAATAATGCAAACAATGCTTTTCCTCCTTGCTCATATATTTTTTTCTGTGTTTGTTTAAATTTCCCATTATCATTCAATTAGATTCCAAGATAGTTGAATTAATTTACTATCTCTAACACACACCCATCGTATTCCCATTTTTCACTATCTTTTAATCTTTCCCCGTTTCTAAAAAACAACAATCCAGTAAGGCCCCACTTGCTAGTGTAATTTAACAAAGAGTCTAGCATATTTTGAAACCTTAAATTGTTTCGGCAAAGATAACTGTATCATCAGCATACATAAGTAACTATGTGTAAGTTGTAAGTCAAGTGAAGGACAGCTGTCCTCTATAAATTGCATTTCGAAAACGTTTACATACAATGAAAATAACAGTCGAAAACATCAGAGCATACTCCGTTGCTTTTTACACACCATCTTACATTTTTATAAAGTGATCTGATAACATTTAACATGTTACCTTCACTACCTTCTTTGATCAACTTGTACCATAAATTATGTCTATTGATCAGGTCAAACGCTTTGGTATAGTCAATGAAACAGCAGTATAGACGTGTTTTTTTACTTTTTAGCGTGCGATTAATTACGGCCTATAATGTAAATATAGCATCTTTCTTTGAAAAATTCCGTTTGAATCCACACTGAGCATCGTTTATCTTATTGTACTCCATGTCAAATTCCACCAACCTACTATTCAATACAGACGTAAAAAGTTTACCAATACAACTGACAATTGAAATACCCCTGTAGTTATCATGGTTACCTGGGTCACCTTCTTAAATACTGGAACTAAATTTCCAACTGTCCACATACGAGGATAATTACCTGATTTAAAAATGTTGTTGAAAAGTACAACAAGACAAGGTACAAAAACTTCAGAACAATGAATAAAATATTCGTTCAGCATATCATCGATACCACACTCCTTGTTGGATTTAAGGTTTTGAATAGCACACTCTATTTCACAACCTGTAATATCAGCATCAAGAGCATGTCATCATAATGTTTCGTATAATTATTCATACTTTCATCAGTTTTTAGGTCAGAGGATGCAAGGTTACAGAAGTGTTTTTGAAATTCTTCTAAAGATATCGTCTGAGAGTCAGTAAACTTCTTTCTTTTTCTGAAGTGCTTGTAAAACCGTTTTGAGTTATATTTTCTCAGATATCCTAACATTTTTTCCTGCTGAAGCTAGTATTCACGCTTTAACTTAATTTCATTTTTTTTTTATAATAGCTCTTACATCGGGTGAGGTGTTCCCGATTTTCAACTGATTTACATAAATTAACATTAGAGAGAGCAATCTTGTATTCTCTGAACCTTTGCTTACACTGATCATTGAACCAAGGCTTATCTTCTGTCATCGTTTTCTTATCTCTGACATGTTCTGTTACAGTTTTACAACAATAACGTGATACTATTATTTTTACATATTCTGAAAACTTATTTACAACGTTATTACATAAATCTAATAAGTCAACAGAATTAACTAGAAGTGTTTCTTTGATCGACTGTTTTTCGTTCTCATTCCGTTTAAAGGTAGTTATATACGGTTCAGGCTCTACGTTAATAGGTTCTTGAACGGCGGAAAACAACGAGGGTCAGAAAAATGATTAAAAATATCAGACTCAAACTATGCAATGGCCTTTAACATAGTATTAGTGACTAAAACATAATCAATAAGACTGGCTCCATTGTTACTGAAAAACGTATAATGGCCATTACCATTACCAGCATGTCTACCATTCAAAATTTTGAGACCAGTTGTTTTGCAAAGACAAAGTTGCCTTCCAAATTGGTTAACATATAGGTCCATGTTTGCCCTTTTACAAACATTGGAATCAGGAAGCTATTCCAATATTTTGGATAAAACATGGGTTGAAAATTCACTGACTCTATCAAAGGTAATATAATCCTCAGATAAACCAGTACGTACGTTAAAGTCACCTATTGCTAAAGTGTCACCATACTCTTTATATTTACTTACAGTTTCCTCTAGTAATATATACAAATCTAAATAATTATTTTCATTATACGTGCTATTCACGGGCGGGAAATAATTAACAGTTGAGTAAATATCGCTTCTAGACGGATATTACAATTTGATTACACTGATGCTATCTGTAACAGTTTCAACAACTCGACATTTCTCAGCTATACTAGATTTGATATATATTACAATGTCCCTTTCACGGCCGTGGAGCCTACGTATGACATGATCAGTATACCCTGTTATAGATATGTCATCCTCACTACCAATCTAGCATTCGTATAAACATGCATTCTATATTTACATAAAACGTTTAAAAAATCACGATAATTCAGTTTATCAACAAGTGATCTGCGAACATTCCATGATAGAACGTTAACAGTAGATAGTTCACTCTCCTCCTCATCCTATACAGTCTTTAGGATACATTGTAGTTTCACCTGATGACGAACGAAGATGGTGAGAAACGGGCACGGCGTCATGGGGACTCAGTGTTGCTGTTGAAGCGCGAACGTTTGGTTGGTTGGGCATGCGCACCAAGAGACCCATTCGACGGACTTTGAGCAAGGTCACTATAATTTCTGGTCTGTCGCGGGTTGCTATTCTTCGCTTTGACGTCACTACTTACCAAATGCTCCGTATACAACCTGCCGTGTACTATGAGCTTGTCTCTGACAGGCTTGCCCTGATGGTGTGTGGCTTTAAGGGCTCTATATGTAGGGTACATTTGCATTCGTTTGACATCTTCCACACTAAGGATCTGTCATTGTTGTAGATGAAGCGAGCGACGATTGACCTTCTTTTACCAGTGAATGAACTTTCAAAATCGATGAACATTAGCAAGCTCGATATGGTCCTGGATGTTCAATTCCATGTGTAGAAACTCTCGGACTAGTGATTCTGTATTATCGTTATGTGACTCCAATAAACCACTGAACACTAGGTTTGTCTTCATAGAGCGCCACCTTAAATCTGTTACACTTCGTTTCAATTCACCTTTATCAGATATCAACTCATCCACTAGTTTTTTAAGACTTACAAAGTTCTCGTTTATAGGCGTATGTGTGTGGACTGCTCTTTTCAGCTTCTGTAATTCATCCCCTTGCTTTTTTGACACATGATTCACCTCATCATACATATCACTAATTGTTCTGCAGCTTGCTGCATACCTTGACCCTTGACCTACTTTTCACTGATTGGACCGAGCTGCTCTAGTCTGTTATTCATTGCCTTCATAAGTTCAAACGTTTTGCTTAGTTGGCCATTGCACCGAGCATCAGTACCAGACTCATCAAACAACAGCTTAATAACTGATCAATCTTGTATGTTCCAGCGTCCGTGAAACCATCAACGGTTCTCAAAACGAACAGAGAAGGGGTCTCACTATTTTGCGCCATACGAGATTTAGCGCCATAGGTACGCCATAGGAGTTTTTGCACGCCATAGCAAAATGTGAGTGTTATATCCACGAAATATATCGATTTTTCCATTGGTATACTCATTTAACATGTTTTGGTAAACTATCATTTTAAAAAAATGTGTACTTTGTTAGAAAATCGATCTTGATTACGAAGCACTTTTCACTAATTTGCGCCATACGTGTTTTTTCACGCCATAGCAAAATATAAGAATTATTTTCAGCAAATAACTGTTATTTTCCTTTGGTATATGCAATAAACAGGTTGTGGTAACGTTTCATTCTTAAAAAAAATGTTTATTTTGTTAGGAAATCGACAAAATAATTCTTCGCGATCCTAAAGTCAATTTCAATGGAAGTAACTCGTACATTTGCAAAATACGCCATAGCAATGAATAAGACATGACTAGTACTTGACTGGAATTTTTTTTTTATTTATGAATGTAAATATGGAATAAATTTCAAAAACATTAAAGTCAATGAAAATATTAATTAATTACACAATTTATTTATGAATACAAACATAGAATAATTTACACACAGCTCTGAAACAGAAATTAATTAAAATTCAAAATGATTGGACATGAACATAATTTATGTAAATATTACACATTTTAGAAATTATTTACAACACTTTATTATATACTCTTACATTAAAAATAAGTAATATAGATCTTTAATGGAAATATTAATTACTTTAACATACAATCAATAAAATTCTGTAAAATAGAAACAAATCTTCAATATTTAGGTACCATGATTAAGCACATGGATCATCTATTAAGATGAAAAATGAAAACATATATGTATTCAAATCTTTATTAAATTCAACAACACACTATTTCACACTGTAATACATGAAAGCAAAATTAATAAAACATACATCCTACAAATTGTCAACACCTGAAAAATGGTCGTCTAAGAGAAAGGAACTGGGTCCGGAGTCCTGAGTTGTTGAAATGAACTAGGTCACGGTCATAGTCTTGTTGAAATTTCACTCGCAGCTTGATGTAGTTTAGTCTGGTCTTCATGAGTCGGTTGATCTTGTTGCGTTGTTTATCAAAGGATGTCGCTGTCAGGCCTGGGGACTTGCCAAAATTTCCACGTGCCACTTTCCCGGCAAAGTACACCTCCTTGATGTCAGCAGTCTGTAGGTCCGTTTGTAGTTCGAGTAGTGTCTGGAAAATGTCATTGGGGGATGATGTCGCTGCAATGTCGTTTCCTCTTAGTTGGATGGCTACAATATCTGGGTTCATCAGCAACCAATTAATAGAGTTTTCTTAAAGGCTGATCATATGAACCATCATCAGTTGATCATCATTAATCAATTAGCTGTGTTTTGTTAAGGTTTTTTTTTTTCTCATGTAAAAAGATATAATAAATAAACTGTAAATAATTGCTAAAAATTTCTTACACATTTGAAATAAAAAAATATATATATATATAATTGTGCTGTACATATGTTATTCATTGATCTGTTCATTAAATGAAATTAATATTTATTTATAATATTTAAAAATGTTTTATTCTCTTTAATGTTTCTGCGATTGATATTTCAGTAGATGTAATAAGTAAACTGTTGTAATTAATTCTAAAATTAATATAAAATTTGTTCATGTCTAACTATTTTAAATTGTAATTTATTCCAGGTTTACATGCATAACTAAAAAAAAATCCAGTACTAGTCATGTCTTATTCATTGCTATGGCGTACGAGTTACTTCCCTTAAAATTGACTTCTGAATCGCGAAGAATTATTTTGTCGATTTCCTAACAAAATAAACATTTTTTTAAGAATGAAACCTTACCACAACCTGTTTTAATGCATATACCAAAGGAAATAACAGATACTTGCTGAAAATAATACTTATATTTAGCTATGGCGTGAAAAAACACGTATGGCGCCATTTAGTTAAAATGTGCTTCGTAATCAAGATCGATTTTCCAACAAAGTCCACATTTTTTTTAAATGATAGTTTACCTAAACATGTTAAATGAGTATACCAATATAGAAAAATCGAAATATTGTGGATATAACACTCACATTTTGCTATGGCGTGCAAAAACTCCTATGGCGTACCTATGGAGCTAAATCTCCTATTATTATGTATTAATTTATAGACGGACGGACGACGGAAATAATAGGGTTTAATATATTTGGTTCTTAGCTCCGACTAAACTGGACACAATAAAATAAAACGGGTTTCATCCTCGACGTCATTTCTATTGCAAAGCGGACACCGCCGTTGGGCTCTAGGTATACCAATATACCTGCCTGTTTCTATACTTAGTGTATGAGATTGTAACCTATACTTACTGAGGGTAGTTTTACACTTATAAGTCAGAGACTTGGTGAGGTAGAACTGCATATCGTAATGATTTACGATATATTTATACAACCTACATTTGGAGGAGTTTTCTAAAATGCTTCTCACTTCTTGGATAAAAGTATCTTGCACACGTTGGGTGTATAAAAATACGAAATGTTTTTCATTTGAAACACACTGAGCCAACCAATCATCATGAAAGTCAATTCTACTTGATTCATGCTTGACTTGATATACAAAATTAGTTTTACAATTTGGTTTTTCAAGATTTAATTCGAAAAGCTCATCGTAACAAGATCTCAAATACAATTGTCAGTTTTCAATAATTTTAACCAGTACTTAATAATGGATGTTTTACGCTTTATCTGTAAAGGAAATCGACTTAACTCAAAGTAAACTGTATAATTATTTTCAGACATTTTTACTCCAAGAACTTCTTTCAGGAAATGCAAATGAACTTTTTCAATTTGTGTTGCAGGACAGAATCCCCAGACTTCACAACCATAGTTAAGTAAACAAGTGATATAAGTGTCGAATAATGACAACTAAGTTTCAAAGTTTAACAAAATTCCTAAACAAAAAGAAATCAATAAAAAACAAGCTTTTCTACCTTTGGCAGAAATGTTATCCAATGCGAAAGTAAATCTGCCATTATAATTGAAACCTAGCCCTAGATAACAAACATTGTCTACTATTTCAATAGGCCTACCATTGTATATACATTGCTCATTAGGGAAAACACGTTTGTTTTTCTGAATATAACTACTTTTGTTTTATCCACATTAACCTTTAAATTCAAGCGTTCAACATAGGAATGCAAGGGGTCAAGCATATTTTGAAGATCGACTACGTCCCCTGAAAACAAAACCGTGTCGTCCGCATACAGTATAATAAAAATATTGATCAAATGTAAATGATAACTCTGACAATTTGAGTAAATATGTTCTGACTCCATGTCATTATTAAATAATGAAAATGGAATGGGAAATATAGATTTCCCTTGTAATAAACCAATCTGGAGGTCGTACGTGGGAGAAAATGTACCATTTAATTTGACGCAAGATTTGACATTATCATAAATAGATCATATGACATTTAACAGTCGACCCCTAACCCCTGACTTCCATAACCTAAACCATAATTTGTCATGTGAATACTATCGAAAGCCTTTTGATAATCAACAAAAACACAGAAGAGTCGTTTAGTAACACTCTGTAAAGTGTTGGTAATTAAAGCATTCAGTACAAAAATTGCATCCCGTGTAGCACTTCGGGTCGGAAACCAAATTGAGCGTCAGAAATTATGTTTTCATTTTCACTCCATGACAGTAAGAAGTGTTGAAGATGAGGTTATGATTGATTGTTTGAACAGCTATGATCATTTAAGGACGCGTTAGGTTCTGTTGGAGGAGGACAAAGTACCCGGAGAAAAACCACCGACCTGCGACCAGTACTTGGCGACTGCCATACGTAGGCCTCGAACCCGCGACCCAGTGGTGGAGGGCTAGTGGTCGTAGGCGGTCAGATGCCTTTACCTCACTGCCACAGCGCCCCCTAAATATATGATGATTATGACGTAATTACAATTGTGACGTCATACTCAAGAGGTTGGGTAGCAATGATCATTGCTAGTAGTGGCTATTCCATTTATTTTATGAAATTCTTCCTCAACTTTAAATACCAAGTGCGAGTTATCAATCAAGTGACTTTCACAGTAATGAAAACATTAAACTGTGTGAATCCCTTCATCGTATTTTATTGAATAAATAATACTGAACAACGGTTTAGATGACGGTTATAAATTATTTACTTCGTGTTATGCTAATTTAACAAAGAGGATATTGGAATGATTCATACGTAATGCACAAATGTAACGCACAAGAAATATCCACAGTGTAGATGTACATGATTTAGGGGAGGTAACTCTATCATTGTTTTCCAAAGAGTGAACCGCTATATTGGAGTCTACAGTTTTTTCTTCTTATTTATACTATTTACCATCTCAGTAAAATGCAGTTAACTCCACAAACAAAGCATTTTGCTAAACCATATGTTAAATGTTAAGTGATGATAAAAACATCCCCCATACATATAAAGGGAAAACGTGTTACAGTCTAACGTGCAATGTCCCTTGTCCTAAACCATAAAATGTAAAGCCATATGGCATCAACACACTATAACAGTATTTATATCAATAATATAATATAAGTAAGTATATCATTCATTCTGATTTGAGACTAAAATTTACATCACAAAGGCATATCATTCTGAACAGAATGCAGGTAACATCTAAATGCAGCGCAAAATTTGAGAGGGTTTCCTTTAACCAGGGCAATTGTGTTGCGATAAAATACGGATTAGCTGGCTTTATTAGACAGTAATTTAACTAGGTATATATTATTCCTAAAGAACAAGGTATCACTAGTTGTTTAAATGTTGATGTTAATCAGTTTATGAACGCATTTACTCCCGCGCCATTCCGTACGAACTCATCGGCGATCCTCGGATTTCATTCGCTTCTTGAACAAGTGCACAGAAGGGACAGAACAGGGCTACTATAAGATCGTTACACAACGTCCCGTCTATACTTTTCTCTTGTCGTATCTTCCCCCGGATGTTGACGGCAGCCACCAGATGTATGACGGGAAATAAATAGGTCATGGCTGCAACAATAAAAGAAACATATCGAAATTATCTTATAAACATATCAATCCTTAAATTTTACTCTTTTAAATATGGGAAATTTTCAGTATGATTAAATTGATACATATAAGACATATACAGAAACCATCTTCACAAACGATCGTAGAAGATAGACTATGACGTCACTGTACTATGGCAGCATATTAATGGACATTGTCACATCCTATATCAAAAGTCCTACATCAACACTGTAGTAAGATTCACCAGCTGTATTACACAACCTTACTGTAACACTGTAGTAAGATTCACCAGCTATATTGCACAACCCCCCCGTTACACTCTAGCAAGATTCAACAACTGTATTACACAACCTTACAGTAACAATGTAGCAAGAGTCACCAACTGTATTGCACAACCTTTCTGTAACACTGTAGTAAGATTCACCAACGGTATTACACAACCTTACAGTAACAATGTAGCAAGAGTCACCAACTGTATTGCACAACCTTACTGTAACATTGTAGTAAGATTCACCAACTGTATTGCACAACCTTCCTGTAACACTGTAGTAAGATTCACCAACTGTATTACACAACCTTACAGTAACAATGTAGCAAGATTCACCAACTGTATTGCACAACCTTACTGTAACACTGTAGTAAGATTCACCAGCTATATTGCACAACCTTACTGTTACACTCTAGCAAGATTCAACAACTGTATTACACAACCTTACTGTAACACTGTAGTAAGATTCACCAGCTGTATTGCACAACCTTACTGTAACACTGTAGTAAGATTCACCAGCTGTATTGCACAACCTTACTGTAACACTGTAGTAAGATTCACCAGCTGTATTGCACAACCTTACTGTAACACTGTAGTAAGATTCACCAGCTGTATTGCACAACCTTACTGTAACACTGTAGTAAGATTCACCAGCTGTATTGCACAACCTTACTGTAACACTGTAGTAAGATTCACCAGCTGTATTGCACAACCTTACTGTAACACTGTAGTAAGATTCACCAGCTGTATTGCACAACCTTACTGTAACACTGTAGTAAGATTCACCAGCTGTATTGCACAACCTTACTGTAACACTGTAGTAAGATTCACCAGCTGTATTGCACAACCTTACTGTAACACTGTAGTAAGATTCACCAGCTGTATTGCACAACCTTACTGTAACACTGTAGTAAGATTCACCAGCTGTATTGCACAACCTTACTGTAACACTGTAGTAAGATTCACCAGCTGTATTGCACAACCTTACTGTAACACTGTAGTAAGATTCACCAGCTGTATTGCACAACCTTACTGTAACACTGTAGTAAGATTCACCAGCTGTATTGCACAACCTTACTGTAACACTGTAGTAAGATTCACCAGCTGTATTGCACAACCTTACTGTAACACTGTAGTAAGATTCACCAGCTGTATTGCACAACCTTACTGTAACACTGTAGTAAGATTCACCAGCTGTATTGCACAACCTTACTGTAACACTGTAGTAAGATTCACCAGCTGTATTGCACAACCTTACTGTAACACTGTAGTAAGATTCACCAGCTGTATTGCACAACCTTACTGTAACACTGTAGTAAGATTCACCAGCTGTATTGCACAACCTTACTGTAACACTGTAGTAAGATTCACCAGCTGTATTGCACAACCTTACTGTAACACTGTAGTAAGATTCACCAGCTGTATTGCACAACCTTACTGTAACACTGTAGTAAGATTCACCAACTGTATGGCACAACCTTACTGTAACACTGTAGTAAGATTCACCAACTGTATGGCACAACCTTACTGTAACACTGTAGTAAGATTCACCAGCTGTATTACACAACCTTACTGTAACACTGTAGTTAGATTCAGCAGCTGTATTGCACAACCTTACTGTAACACTGTAGTAAGATTCACCAGCCGTATTGCACAACCTGACTGTAACATTATTGGCTCGTCAGCTGTAAAATTTAACTGAGTAATAAGCATATCAATACACTTAAGCGGGCTCGATACACATACAAATATACGTACTACATGTTAAGTATATTGCGATGGACTGTTTCACTACAGTATAGTTTACCTGGCCCTTGAATCATGAAACAATATTGTATTAATGTTTTGCTTAAGCAATCACTATTGACGACACTTTTTATGACGTTAATTGTGATTGGTTAAGACAATTTCAGACTTAGGTTCGTTTCATGATCTCGGGTCCTGGTGTGCTATATACCTATCCAACACTAGAACCATAATGAATAGCAAGCTAACTAAACACTCATAACATATGTAAAGATATCGCTTATAGAAGATCTCATAAAGTAATTGAGAAATTTCTATTTCTTGTTGAGGTATCTTATAAACAATAAAATATCCCACATAATCCTAATCTTATACAATCCTTTTATAATGTATTAATTTTTTAGATTCCAAACATATCGCTTTTAAGTTTAAACAGTAGAATCACCAGATGTGTAATGTATGCCTGTCTATTGGTTTAACAACTATTAAAACCTTTTGACAAATTACAAAGAGTACCGTCAAAGTTTGTACAACACGATTAGTAATATCATATTTAACATCAGCTTTGGTTTTCGCCCGCGAACGATAATAAACATACAATGTAAAATTAAAGTGGTATTTATCAATAACCCGAGATGATGGATTATGTATAACATGTGTGTGGGTCGGTCACACCCGCTGTATCTCTGTACACAAGTTGTGTATACAGACGAGATAAAAGGACAAATAGGTTTGTTTTATCGATTTAAGTCCTACTTTTCAAGTGCCCGACCACCAGAGGAAAATCGTTTAACAATGTAGGGCAACAACAAGTAATCTCTCTTTTAAACATTTTCTCTCTGGTTAACAAATTAAAACAAAACAACGTCATATACATGATAACAGGATACTGTCCCTGCAACATCCGTAACTATTTTCCCGCATCTTTGGCAAACCCTGATACCATAAGTGCGCTTCTTTTACCTCCATGCATTTCAAACAAAATATGCAACGTGTCCGTACTAACAAGGTGCTCACTCTACACATACTCTAACGTGTCAAGACTGACAAGGTGATCACTCTACACATAATCTACCGTGTCCGTACTAACAAGGTGCTCACTCCACACATACTCTAACGTGTCCGGACTACCAAGGTGATCACTCTACGCATAATCTAACGTGTCCGGACTACCAAGGTGATCACTCTACAAATAATCTAACGTGTCCGTACTTCCGGACTAACAAGGTGAACACTCTACACATAATCTACCGTGTCCGTACTAACAAGGCGATCACTCTACACATAATCAAACGTGTCCGGACTAACAAGGCGATCACTCTACACATAACCTCACGTGTCCGGACTAACAAGGGGATCACTCTACACATAATCTAACGTGTCCGTACTAACAAGTCGATCACTCTACACATAATCTAACGTGTCCGGACTAACAAGGTGATCCCTCTACACATAATCTAACGTGTCCGTACTAACAAGGCGATCACTCTACACATAATCTAACGTGTCCGGTCTAACAAGGTGATCACTCTACACATAATCTAACGTGTCCGGACTAACAAGGTGATCACTCTACACATAATCTAACGTGTCCGGACTAACAAGGTGATCACTCTACACATAATCTAACGTGTCCGGACTAACAAGGTGATCACTCTACACATAATCTAACGTGTCCGGACTAACAAGGTGATCACTCTACACATAATCTAACGTGTCCGGACTAACAAGGTGATCACTCTACACATAATCTAACGTGTCCGGACTAACAAGGTGATCACTCTACACATAATCTAACGTGTCCGGACTAACAAGGTGATCACTCTACACATAATCTAACGTGTCCGGACTAACAAGGTGATCACTCTACACATAATCTAACGTGTCCGGACTAACAAGGTGATCACTCTACACATAATCTAACGTGTCCGGACTAACAAGGTGATCACTCTACACATAATCTAACGTGTCCGGACTAACAAGGTGATCACTCTACACATAATCTAACGTGTCCGGACTAACAAGGTGATCACTCTACACATAATCTAACGTGTCCGGACTAACAAGGTGATCACTCTACACATAATCTAACGTGTCCGGACTAACAAGGTGATCACTCTACACATAATCTAACGTGTCCGGACTAACAAGGTGATCACTCTACACATAATCTAACGTGTCCGGACTAACAAGGTGATCACTCTACACATAATCTAACGTGTCCGGACTAACAAGGTGATCACTCTACACATAATCTAACGTGTCCGGACTAACAAGGTGATCACTCTACACATAATCTAACGTGTCCGGACTAACAAGGTGATCACTCTACACATAATCTAACGTGTCCGGACTAACAAGGTGATCACTCTACACATAATCTAACGTGTCCGGACTAACAAGGTGATCACTCTACACATAATCTAACGTGTCCGGACTAACAAGGTGATCACTCTACACATAATCTAACGTGTCCGGACTAACAAGGTGATCACTCTACACATAATCTAACGTGTCCGGACTAACAAGGTGATCACTCTACACATAATCTAACGTGTCCGGACTAACAAGGTGATCACTCTACACATAATCTAACGTGTCCGGACTAACAAGGTGATCACTCTACACATAATCTAACGTGTCCGGACTAACAAGGTGATCACTCTACACATAATCTAACGTGTCCGGACTAACAAGGTGATCACTCTACACATAATCTAACGTGTCCGGACTAACAAGGTGATCACTCTACACATACTCTAACGTGTCCGGACTAACAAGGTGATCACTCTACACATAATATAACGTGTCCGTCCTAACAAGGTGATCACTCTACACATAATCTAACGTGTCCGGACTAACAAGGTGATCACTCTACACATAATCTAACGTGTCCAGACTAACAAGGTGATCACTGTACACAGAATCTAATGTGTCCGGACTAACAGGGTGATCACTGTACACAAAATCTAACGTGTCCGGACTAACAAGGTGATCACTGTACACAGATTATGATGTGTCTGGACTAGGAAAGTGTTCATTATACACAGAAGATAGAATGTGTCCGCTGTACGTCTAAATGAACGGATCTTCACAAGGACTTGATTAGAATAGTTAAAAAAGGTTTTATTTTGTATGGAAATCAGAATGTATGAACTAGCGTGCTGTGCATAGCATATTTTACGCTTGGCATGACTTCGCTATGTGAACTCTATTAAGATGTAAAACATCGGCAAACCCGATAGTTTCGATATGTGTACGTCCGGTTTCCTTAGGTGAGCTGGTCGTAGGGAATTCAAATGTTGTACATGTATATCAGTAAACATCTTGATGTATTCTGTATAGTAAAATGGATTCCTAATCCAACTTTAAATTAACTCCTATCGTCATAAAACATACAGGCGTTTAATCAAGCAACTGGTGCCACTAAAACATGTAATAAAGACACAGGTACATGTACCTGTTTATTTGTACACGATATAGCAGTGGTAAATACTACACAAAAGTCGGTGCCGTCAACAATTACCGTTACACCGTGGCTTTAGTTTCGTTTTAACAACAGCTGTCTACATATAAATGTATTGGTCTGTGGTTGATCAGAACGAACACTGTTAAACTAAAATCATTACAAACATGTTTTTTTTTTTTTAACTGAGCTGTTGTTTGAAGGACTGGTTAAGTTTCCTTACCACAGCAGCAGCAGCTCTCCCCGACAGCCTCCGCGTTCTTGCCGAACGTGTAGCAAGGCATGATGTACGTGATGAGGCAGAGCGTACAATTGTCCATACACCCCAGGAGTCCATGTTGCCAGTAAGACGACATCGTGACCACGTGGTCAGTTCGGTCAGTTGTGATTAATCAAATCTACACCGGACAGTGTCGCAGTAGAGAGTGGTCAGTTACCAAAGTTCTTGTATCGGCTAGATAACGTCGACAAGAGTCCAGTATCATCCGTCAGAGAAAAGAAACTGGTCACTCAACAGAGTATCACTGGTTACAGGGAGGGTCACGCGAGACAGGTATTACCGTATTGAATTGGTAACATTGAATTCCTTATATGTCGGACAGGAACCAGGAAATAATATAAGATCACATGAGCACGTACACACATGAGGTATAAATATGTGTATACGATAAGCATAACGTACAGTCACGAGGACCGGCTGTCACATGGGGAGCGGTCACGTGATTAAGATTTTGTTGTCTTGCACTACATACACAACCCTGTGTCAAACACTCAGCACAGTCAGCCTAACCTCATCATCGTAACTAACTTCTAGAATACCACACCCAATGACATCGACACGAGGGTACCACACATGTACACACATCTCATGACGTTACAGACGCTGGGTTTACAGACGCAGAGGACAGACACATATACACCAATGACTTTACTGAACGCGGATGACAAAAACAGAACATCTAGAAGATTTTACAGCCGTGGAGATATTTGCATGTATATTTATCTGTATCAAATCAAACTAGGGAAAACATTTCTTACATAAAACAAATGCAATGATATATTTTACAAATTGATTAATTGTACATTAAAACCTTCCTCTTTAGTAAGATGAGAATGAGAAATTAAAAATGACCTTTGAAGAACTGAAAGGAAGTAAATATTATCCAAAAAATATACTGCCATTATTGTCAGTGATAATAATTCCTTGCAGTGGCNGGGGTTTCCAAATTTCCAGAAAAATGGTGAAAATGCATGATTTTTAAAGAAAATTATCAGGGTGGGGGTTTCTTGAAGCCCAAAAAAACCCTCTGGATCCGCCACTGCCTTGCGTAAAAGTAGATCCTGGGCCTTTAGTAAGATTTTGTAAAAATGTAATAACCTACAAAAAAAAAACACACACACGCAGACAAGAAAGTTTATATAAATCACAGAGGATACTGAATTCCTTGAAGCCCCTTTAGTAGAAAAAAAGATCCCAACGTAATACATCACAAAAAAAACCACTTAAAAACTGACGGGAAAGCGAGAGTCACGCCATGTGCCTGACCGTTGAATTCCAAGAAAAGGACCGTACCCCATGGTCTATTTTTAGTAACAGTGACATCTACCTTAGATATGTTTAAACCCCTATTGCACATTTACATTTCCCAGTGATTTCAGAGAAACGAATGTCTTTCGGATTCCGAGATAGTCTCCGGAAAGAAAGTGTGGTCGGACGGATAGATCAGAGACGTATATGTATATGGCGCTATACAAAATGTACATATATGGACAGACAGACAGACCAACACCGTGATTAATATAGGACACCCACATCATAAGTATGACGACAGATTGATTGAAATTGATGTAGATTCAGGAGAGTTATCTCGCTTCGTGTACGGTTCGGCTTCGATTGATTGCGCTAAGAATGTACGAGACGGATGCAAACGTCTACGATCTTATCGTGTCATTGTTTTAGTGCAACAGCAAATAAAACGGTGAACCTGTACGATTTAATGCCTGTTTAATCACCTACTGATTACATATTAGTGCTGTAAAGTTTCTTAAAGGAGCAATAAAACGCGCAGACATGTAAATACACACATCACTTTTAAAACAAACATGGGCTTTTTGTGAATTACGAAGGTCGACATGTCAGGTATAAAACTTCATGCTGAAATTAATTTCATATCAGATTCGTTTACAAAAATCAATGAGTTCATACCTCATATTATGTCAATGAGATTGTGTGATGAGTGTTAACATAACATGTTTGGACACGGGTAGATCGCCGGCGATTAGGTAGTTGAGTTTGTTCAGCGACAATTACATGTACGCTTACATTGTATTATAGCTTAGGTTATTTCTTAAATTTGGATAAAGGCAGCAAAAAATAGTTTCAGCAACCGACAGACAACGTTGTAATTAGTGAAGGTGTATCCAGTTTGGACTATAAGAGCGATAGTAACCAAGACGAAGTCGTGGTCGATATCATTGTTTAGGTCCATGTAACCACAATGTTAATTGTAATATTACATATGAAAATGTTATGTTGTTGTCAGTATGCAGTACGAAGCTAAATCGTTAAGGAACAAGAGTTGTACATGTATTTGACAGAGAACATTCCGGAGGTTACCATTGTAACAGTTCCTTATATTTCTAAATAGAGTCAATTTCAGAAAATATTTCTGTTTTTCCATTGATTCTAAATGGTAAATACTTGGTCCCAGGTTCGCTGATGCATGTCTATAACATAGTGTTATATTTTTGTCATGCACGTGACCATATCAACTTCATGTTTCTGGATATTTTGTTCCGACAGCCACACCTTAATTCTCACTGCGTAGATATCTAATACATGTATGTAATATAAAGATTAAGGACTTTTGTCTCAGTTAAATCATGGGTAAATGATCCCGATAGAGTAATGCCGACCAAGAACTGCTTCTATCAACATCGACAAGAGTTCATTTTTGCAAATAACTGTTGCCTTATTAACTAGGAAATATTCAACTAATTTGTATAAAGAAAAACATCAGACCACCAACGGTTGACAAATATACCAGTAGCAAACAAAATGTCTGTCAATATAACAAACAAAATGTCTGTCAATATAACAAACAAAATGTCTGTCAATATAACAAACAAAAAGTCTGTCAATATAGCAAACATTAAGGTTGTCAATATAACAAACAATAGGACTGTCAATATAACAAACATTAATGCTGTCAACATAACAAACATAAGGCTGTCAATATAACAAACACAAAGGCTGTCAATATAACAAAATGTCAGGCTGTCAATATACCATGAAACACGTCTGTAAATATAACAAACATCAAGGTTGTCAATATAACAAACAAAAGGGGTGTCAAAATAACAAACAATAATGTTGTCAATATAACAAACAAAAGGGCTGTCAAAATAACAAACAATAATGTTGTCAATATAACAAACAAAAGGGGTGTCAAAATAACAAACAATAATGTTGTCAATATAACAAACAATAGGGCTGTCAATATAGCAAACATTAAGTTTTTCAATATAACAAACAATAGGACTGTCAAGATAACAAACATTAATGCTGTCAACATAACAAACATAAGGTTGTCAATATAACAAACAAAAGGGGTGTCAAAATAACAAACAATAATGTTGTAAATATAACAAACATTAAGGTTGTCAATATAACAAAAAACATTAAGGCTGTCAATAAAACAAAAAACATTAAGGCTGCCAATATAAAAAAAAACAAGTCTGTACATAAAACAAACATTAATGCTGTCAACATAACAAACATAAGGCTGTCAATATAACAAAAAATATTAAGGCTGCCAATATAAAAAGAAACAAGTTTGTACATAAAACAAACATTAATGCTTTCAACATAACAAACATAAGGCTGTCAATATAACAAATTGTAAGGCTGTCCATATACCATGAAACAAGTCTGTAAATATAACAAACATTAAGGTTGTCAATATAACAAAAAACATTAAGGCTGTCAACATAACAAACATTAATGTTGTCAATATAACAAACAAAAGGGGTGTCAAAATAACAAACAATAATGTTGTCAATATAACAAACATTAAGGCTGTCAATCTAACAAAATGTAAGGCTGTCAATATCCCATGAAACAAGTCTGTAAATATAACAAACATTAAGGCTGTCAATATAACAAACACAAAGGCTGTCAATATAACAAAAAACATTAAGGCTGTCAACATAACAAACATTACGGTTGTCAATATAGCAAACATTAAGGTTTTCAATACAACAAACAATAGGACTGTCAAGATAACAAACATTAATGCTGTCAACATAACAAACATAAGGTTGTCAATATAACAAACAAAAGGGGTGTCAAAATAACAAACAATAATGTTGTCAATATAACAAACAATAGGGCTGTCAATATAGCAAACATTAAGGTTTTAAATACAACAAACAATAGGACTGTCAAGATAACAAACATTAATGCTGTCAACATAACACACATAAGGCTGTCAATATAACAAACACAAAGGCTGTCAATATAACAAAAAACATTAAGGCTGTCAATAAAACAAGAAACATTAAGGCTGCCAATATAAAAAGAAACAAGTTTGTACATAAAACAAACATTAATGCTTTCAACATAACAAACATAAGGCTGTCAATATAACAAAAAACATTAAGGCTGTCAATAAAACAAAAAACATTAAGGCTGCCAATATAAAAAGAAACAGGTCTGTACATAAAACAAACATTAATGCTGTCAACATAACACACATAAGGCTGTCAATATAACAAAAAATATTAAGGCTGCCAATATAAAAAGAAACAAGTCTGTACATAAAACAAACATTAATGCTGTCAACATAACAAACATAAGGCTGTCAATATAACAAAAAACATAAAGGCTGTCAATATAACAAACATTAAGGCTGTCAATATAACAAAATGTAAGGCTGTCAATATACCATGAAACAAGTCTGTAAATATAACAAACATTAAGGTTGTCAATATAACAAACAAGAGGGCTGTCAAAATAACAAACAATAATGTTGTCAATATAACAAACATTAAGGCTGTCAATATAACAAAATGTAAGGCTGTCAATATACCATGAAACAAGTCTGTCAAAATAACAAACATTAATGCTGTTAATATAACAAATATTAAGATTGTCAATATAACAAACATTAAGGCTGCCAATATAAAAAGAAACAAGTCTGTACATAAAACAAACATTAATGCTGTCAACATAACAAACATAAGGCTGTCAATATAACAAAAAACATTAAGGCTGTCAACATAACAAACATTACGGTTGTCAATATAGCAAACATTAAGGCTGTCAACATAACAAACATAAGGCTGTCAATATAACAAAAACCATAAAGGCTGTCAATATAACAAACATTAAGGATATCAATATAACAAACATTTAGGCTGTCAACATAACAAATGTTAAGGCTGTTAATATAACAAGAAACAAGTCTGTAAAAATAACAAACATTAAGGCTGTCAATATAATAAACATTAAGGCTGTCAATATAACAAACATAAGGATGTCAATATAACAAAAAAATTAAGGCTGTTAATATAACAAACATTAATGTTGTCAATATAACAAACAATAATGTTGTCAATATAACAAACCTTCAAGTTGTCAATATAACAAACATTGAGACTGTCAATACAACAAACTGTTATGTTGTCAATACAGCAAACAT